AGGTTTACTTCGAGCGTTTCCTTTCCTTCCGTTGGGATAAATAACGCACGGTGGTGACTCTTCTGTTCAGCCGGCGCCAATTTTTGCAGTAGCGACAAGGATGCGCGAAGCGTATCCAGAGTTATTTCCATCAGGTATTTTCGAGGACGAAAATAATTAAAGTGGGGGAGAGTTGTAATGCCCATTTTTATTATTTTTAGTTTCCAGTGTTATTTCGTTTTCGGCGTGTTTTGTGTGGAAATTGTTGAGGAACATAATATTAATATTATATAATTGATAATGATAATAATTAATATTAATATTGATACTAGTATTATTATTATTATTATTTATTATATTAATATTGCGAGAATTAATATTGTTTTGGAATTAAAAAAAAATTGTGGAAATAGTATTATTGGAATTAAAAGGTGAATTATTTGGGATTAAGGGTAGTGTTGGCATTTTTGGAAAAATAGAACAAGAGGAGAACACGCTTGGAGGAAGAGGAAGAGCAAGAACACGGTGAAAGTGAGAAGTAGGAGGATCACGGTCAAGAGAAGAGAAATTGGAGCAAGAAGAAGCCGAAGATCATCTTTGGAGCAAGAATTTCATCATCAGTTCGAATTATTGAGGTAAGGGGGGAGATAATCGGGTCAAGTCGGTAATTGCATGAATACTAGGTAGAAGGGGATTTTCCTAACCTCATTAGGTTTTGATGATGTTATGGTATGAGTATTTGATTCTGATGTTTGCTGATAGCGTGTGGATTTTGTTGCATGCGATGAAGTATGATTGTTTGGTGATTTTGGGAATTTCGGTAGTTGCAGTGTTTATGCCGAAAGTTTTTTAACTGACTAGAAATAAGGTTATGTCGGGTTAAATCGAGAGAAGATTTCGTAATTAGGTTGTTGCATGTTGAGCCGATGTTTTGGGAACTGAGTTGAGTAGAATCGGATGATTTCGGAAGGTTGTACCGCTGCTGCACAGTGGTTTATTTTTCTGATTTCGCAGACGCTCGCCAGCTGCTTCGCTGGGCGAGCTGTTAGCGAACCTTCGCTGGGTGTTCGCTGGGCGAACTGAGTAGCGAGTGCTTCTAGACTATTTCTGTTTGGCTTCGTGAGGGTGCTCGCTGAGCGAGCGAGTAGCGAGTGCTCGCTGATGCTTCGCCTAGCGAATGAGCTAGCGAGCATGACAGCATTTTCTTTCAATTTTTGTGATGTGCTATTCTATTCTCTTGTATTGTTTAACCCTTGCTGGTTGTGATCGATTCTATCTTTGGGGATGAACAGTGACAGTGTATGTGTGATGTAGAGCTTGAATGCTTGATACTCGTTTAATGTGAATGATTGAATTGATGTATGTTAGTATGCATGGATATATGTGTGATATATATATATATATATATATATATATATATATATATATATATATATATATATATATATATATATATATATATATATATATATATATATATATATATATATATATATATATATATATATATATATATATATATATATATATATATATATATATATATATATATATATATATATATATATATATATGCATATGATATGTGATGAGATGTGGTCAGGGGACCTTGTGCACCGTGTGTTCTAGTGTTGCTGTGTGCATGAGGTTTGCATATGCATGTTTACGGGGGTGAATCATTGCTCAGATGGAGCGTATGTGATCACTCGCGTGCTCCAATTGGGGAGCGTGGTAGGGATAGATTGTTGCTCAGAGGGAGTGGATGCGATCTATCCTGAGTGTGGTTTTCCCGGTGCTCCGGAAGGGAGTGGTAGGGATAAATCGTTGCTCAGAGGGAGTGGATGCGATCTATCCTGAGTGTGATTTACCGGGGCTCCAAATGGGGAGCGTGGTAGGGATAGATTGTTGCTCAGAGGGAGCGTATGCGATCTATCCTGAGGATGGTTGACGAACCAGTGATGTTGAGTCGGTACCGCATATCATGGATTGTGTTGCATATATTTGCATGGTTGTGAGTGTTGTGTTGGCATGGGACAGTAGGTCCGGATTGATGTATATGAATGAATATTTTATATGTTTCTGCCTATTTATTCATGTACGTTATTACCGTTATGATTTGATCGTGATTTCTCACCCCTTTACTTTTGTTGTGGTCTGTGCTTCTTCGGAAGTACAGATAATCCAGGTATGTAGCTAGCTTGGATTGTGGCGAGTCGTAGGAATGCTCTGATACGTAACACCGGGGCTTTTTGGGAGTTTATTGTTTATTGATGATTTTGTGTGCCCCTGTGGCATATCATGTTTTGTTGAACCCGTTGTGGTGGATGTATTTTGTATATTTTGGCGGTGGCCGTACATGATGATTATGACATTTATGTATATGATGTGAATCTATGTATATAATTCCGCTGTTTAATTATCGAAAATCATTAATGAGGATGTTTTCTTGATGTTTGTTTTCTGTGACATCCCATTGTGTATGTGAATACTCTGATATTTGTTTATTTTATTGCAATTATTTGTGTTTTGGGAATGGGGTGTTACATCTTTCAACACGAAGACGCTACGTTCGCCACATCATTTCGTAACAAAAATTTTGAGATAAATAATTGGGTACTACCCGTAAAGGGTTACTATCAGAGGACCTATCTCTCCCCTAAAAACAACCCACAAATCAAACGTGACTTCTTGCCTCGCATGGCGAAAACCAGTCTTTCAAAAAGGATATGTTACGTCTGTTCTACTGCAAACAGGTAACGCTTAAGTCTCCTCACATGCAAGTAGCAAAACACCTAAACTGCTAGAATGCGCACGATAACATCATCCACAAAAACACCAGTTATCTGTAGTTTCACAAACTACGTTGCTCTAATTTCTCTTGCATGTTGAGAATACGTAGGCATAGGATTGCGACAATCCTAGTGAGCACCCTTTTCTCTTTTCCACCCTTTCCCAGAAAGACATGCTATGTCCGTTCTACCGCAAACAGGTAACGCTTAGGTCTTCTCACATGCGAGCAGCAAAATACCTAAACTGCTAGAATACGCACGATAGCAACGTCTACCAAAACTCATCCGCAAACTGTAAGCCGAACTACGGCTACTCTGATTCTTTACTTCTTTTAAGTAAAGATACGTAGGCACAAGGGTCATAATCCTTGTCGAGAACATTTCCCCTATATCTGCAGTTTCCAGAACTATGTCGACTCTGACTTTCTCATATCTGTTGAGAATACGTAGGCCTAGGACCACGAAGTACTACCGAGTCTCTCTTCTCCCCCTTTACCTCTCTTTTTCCTGTTTCTTACCATTTTCTCTCTGTCCCCCCGAACACTCATAGAAAGTAATATATTTTAGCAAATACCTTCACACGTCGACAAACAAATGGTTCCCATTGAGTACGATGGATGCGAAGGGTGCTAATATCTTTCCTTCGCATAACCGGCTTCCGAACCCATTCTTGGTTGCGAGATCATCATATCCATTTCTTTCTTAGGGTTTTCTCGATATTTTCCCTTCCCCTCATGGGATAAATAAAGTTCGGTGGCGACTCTTCTGTCTATCTTTTTCGTCTCCCCGTCATTGCATTTTTCGAGTAGCTACAATATATATATATATATATATATATATATATATATATATATATATATATATATATATATATATATATATATATATATATATATATATATATATATATATATATATATATATATATATATATATATATATATATATATATATATATATATATATATATATATATATATATATATATATATATATATATATATATATATATATATATATATATATATATATATATATATATATATATATATATATATATATATATATATTAAAAAAAAGTGTCTAAATGAATGTGATTTATTCACCTTTCTGTTCCGTGGATTTTAAAAAGGAAGTGTTTTATACCGTCTAGATCTAATTATAAGAAAATTTTATTTTTAAAATTTATTGTATAATGACTGTGTATAATTTAAATATAGCCTTATACATTATTTATTCAAATTTATAATTTAAACTTTCTAGAACTTTCCTATAATAAAACCAAAATAAGTGATATATTTTATTCAAAAGTACTTTCTCTTTCTATTATCTTTTATAAAAAAAATTATTTTATAAATGATATTTTATATATATATATATATATATATATATATATATATATATATATATATATATATATATATATATATATATATATATATATATATATATATATATATATATATATATATATATATATATATATATATATATATATATATATATATATATATATATATATATATATATATATATATATATATATATATATATATATATATATATATATATATATATATATATATATATATATATATATATATATATATATATATATATATATATATATATATATATATATATATATATATATATATATATATATATATATATATATATATATATATATATATATATATATATATATATATATATATATATATTAGAAACTCTTTAAATTAATGATGTCAGGACCGGAGAAATTTATTAATTTAGAGAGTTATTAATTTATCGATAAATTAATAATTATTAATTTAAAGAGTTTTTAAGTAGTTATGCTATACATACCAAACAAAAAGGCAAATTAGTCTATGCCTCTTAGAATTACGTTGCAGCGAACCTTAGGACTCAACGTAAATAGTAACTACTGTGTTCATATGCATTGGAAATCAATAATGACTTCTGAAGTACAGTAAATGTAAACAAGAGGAACAAATGTGTTTAATGTATTCTTAATCAAGTTTGCTATATATAAATTACATGAATGCGTTAGAGTATTCAAACCATATCTCACAAAAAGACTTGCAGAGATGGCTTAAGGGAAAATTTCATGTGAAAGTTAGTCAAGGAACAATATCAAACACACTTAAACGGTCAGATGACTATCTCTCTGCTGAAATAGAAAAGGGAACAACAGAGATCAAAAGACATAAACCAGCAAAATATCCTGACATGGAGAAGGTTGTTTATGAGTGGTTTCTCCAGCATCGAGAACGTGTGAATATCACAGGAGAATTAATTTTGCAGAAGGCAAGAGATACAATGAAACTCGTGTACTCTCATGATGATTCAGATTTTAACTTCTATATAGGATGGCTTGGAAGATTCAAGAACCGACATGGCATAAAGTCATTTCGTCGTTTTGGCAAGAGTGGGTCTGTTGATGTACAAGACATGGAGCAGAAATTGGTATCGATTTGGGGGAAATTGATCAGTTCCCTATGAAAGATGTTTTCAATATGGATGAAACTGGGTTGTTTTATAGGCTACAAGTTGATCATTCACTGGCAACAAAACAACTTGAAGGAAGAAAACAAGATAAAGAAAGGCTGACGGTAGTTATTTGTTGCAATGAAGATGGCTTTCAAAAAATCCCTCTATGGATTATTGGGAAATATACAAAGCCTCGTTGCTTCAAGAATGTCAACATGAATAGGTTGGATTGTCAGTATCGAGCTAACAAAAAAGCATGAATGACTAGTGTGCTTTCTGATGAATATGTTCGTTCATTTGACCAAATGATGCATGGTAGAAGAGTTCTACTTGTGGTGGATAATTGTCCAGCACATCCAAGAAATATTGAAGGGCTAAGAAACGTTGAGTTGTTCTTCTTGCCACCCAACATGACATCAAAGATTCAACCTTGCGATGCTGGGATAATAAGAGCTTTATAGATGCATTACCGTAGAAGGTTTTACCGCAAAATATTGGAAGGTTATGAGATGGGACAATCTGATCTAGGGAAGATAAATGTCCTTGATGCTATCAATTTGGCAATCCCAACTTGGACGATAGATGTTCAAAAAAAACAATAGTGAATTGCTTCCGACACTGTAAAATTCGTTTAGCTAGTGACGTTGCAAGAAATTTGGATGAATCCACTTTTGATGAAGAAACTCAAGACCTCGAGACTATGATCAATCAATGTGGCTATCGTAATAAGATGGATATCGACAATCTAATGAACTACCCAGGTGAAAATGAAGCATATTCGGAGGTTCAAAGTTTAGAAGATATTGTGGGTACTATCATTGAGAACAATGCAGAGGATGACGACAAAGATGATACGGTGTCTTTGGAGCCTGTTACGCGAAAGGAAGCACTTATGGCGTCGAACACTCTTCACAACTTTGTGATACAATACAAAAATACAACACCTGAGCTATTGGATGCAATAAGAAAAGTTAAAGATGAGCTCCAAATAGACTTGAACTTTAAAGGAAAACAAATAACTATTGAATCATATTTCAATAGAGTGTAATATATTTTGTTTAGTTTCTATGAATTATTAATTTATGATTTTCTTGGGATCGAAAATTATAAAGGGATCCCCTGAAAATTATTATTTTATTATTTTATCAAGTTTTTCAATTTTTTACGTTGGCCCAAATCGGGACCGAACAAATTTATTATTTTAGAGAATTTATTAATTTATCAAATATTAATTTAAAAAATTTCTACTGTATATATGTTAGATATATTAATTATTTAACTAATATAAATTGTTAAAATTTTCTTATGGAGGGAATACGTTATTTAGGAAAAAATAAATAAAGTGAGGTTTGAAAAGTATCTTTTGAAAAGTGAAGCACTAACACAGAAATTTCCCAAACAAAACAAATCCCAACATCCTTATAAAACCATACCAACCATATTAACATCTTCAACTTCATAATTCCCACTCTTATCAAAAAAAAAATAACAATGGCATCATCTCGTTACGAACTCGACCTGACTCTCAAATCAGCAAAATCACTCAAGAACGTCAACTGGCGCCACGGCGCTAACCAACCATACGCCATCGTTTGGGTTGATCAATCCAACAAATTCACAACCAATGTAGACCCAAATGGCGACACAGAAGCTGATTGGAATCAAACATTGATCCTCCCTTTACCGCCAAAACCATTAGAGGATCTCACTTTATACGTCGACGTCGTTCACGCTGGATTTGAAGAAGATACTAAGAAACTCATAGGTTCGGCTCGGCTTCAGCTCGTTGATGTTCTTGGTTTTGGAATCGGCGAGCGTGAGAGTCACACTCTCGCATTGAAACGGCCTTCAGGAAGGCCACAAGGGAAGGTTGAAGTTAAGGTGGGGATTAAAGAGAATGCTTATTATGCGCAAGGTGCGTACTATCCTCCTCCTTATGGTGTTCCATACGGTGCTCCTGCTCCTGTTCCTGCTTCACCTCAGCAACAGCCTCAGGGATCGTATTACTCTGCTGCTCCGCCGGCAGGATACCCTCAAACGGCGTCATATGGTGCTCCTGCTCCACCTCAGCAGCAACAGCAGCCGGGGTCGTATTATTCTGCTGCTCCGCCAGCGGGGTACCCTCAAACGGCGTCGTATGGGTCGCAATCGAATGTGTATGTACAAGTGGAAGAAAAGAAGAAGAATAAGTTTGGTGGGATGGGAACGGGATTGGCTGTGGGTGCGGTTGCTGGGGTACTTGGTGGAGTCGCATTGGCGGAAGGTGCTGAGTACATTGAAGAAAAGTTTTCAGATGATGATTAGAGAGTGGTGTTAACGTGTTGCATGTTCTTGATTTTCAATGCTTTGTTTTGTTCAGTGTCAACCTATTAATAAGCTTTGTTTTTTTTTTCTTTTTGTTTGGGTTATTTTATGTTGCTTGGTATTTGTATTGACAGGGTTGGAGTTATTGAGGATTTTTTTTTTGAACATTTATGTCTTAGATTCAAAATTATCGTAAAAGAGAAACTTTCAAAAAAAAAAATTTTAATGGCTAACATTCAACTTTCTGTCGCCGGATGAAATTGCGATATTGTTGAAATAAATTTTGGGCTTGCATAGAATCGCCAAACAGATTGGCGACATCGTTGAAATGGAGGAAGAGTCGCCAATGAGAATGACAACACAGGCCAAATGCTAAGGTTTGCGTGTTTTCTATTTTTAAAATTAGTTATTATTAACACATAATTATAACATAATTATTATTAATATTTAAAATAATGTTTTAATTAATAAATATAATTATTATTAATATTTTTAATTTTTTCATATAATGTTAAAATTAAGTTTTTAATTAATAAACTTAAAATAATTAGGTTTAAATAAAAATAATTTTAAATTAATTTAATAAATTTAGGTTTAATTAAAAATAAACTTAAATTGATTTTATACGTTTAGGTTTAATAAATATATAATCGTTATTTTAATTTGTTGTTTTTAAGTAATAATTATAAAATAAGTAATAATTATTATTTTTAAATTATAAATATTTTTAAAATTTTAATTATAAATTAATTTAAATACAAAATAAAATTTGATTAACAATTTAATTTTAAAGCATATAAATTGATTTAAATTATAAATTTTAAAACATAAAAATTGATTAACCATTGAATTTTGAAGTGTATAAATTTTGTAAGGGTATTTAAGACATATCATATGGGGCACGTACTTGTTGCACCCTAAAATTTGCTCAAGCTATTTCACATGGTTTATGTTTTAATTGCATTATCATTTGCATAGTGTACATAGTCCCATTATTTGCATATCATAACATAACAAGTCATCTAACAAGGGATCAAGTGCCATTCTTATCTAAGGAAGCACATCAAGGGGCCTTATTCAAGCTTAAGACCATCCAAGTCATTAAGGAATGGGTTGAAGCTTTGAGGAGATTTGAGTGTCAACAAGTGGATGCCTTTCCTAACTGGAGGTGTATTGAGGGTCACCAATGGGGTATGAAGCATGGGATTATGAATTTGAGGTGTGTATGGATCCCATGGGAGGCCTAGAGAGCCCTATTGAAGCTTGGACAAGTCATGGTATCAAGTTCATGAACCACAGTTGAGGTGTGTACAAGTAGGGTTTCATCTAGGTAACCCTAGGTCAAGGAGAGCAAAGAAAGGGCATCAAGACCCATCTCTAGGTCATGGAAGCCATGGATTGATATGTTAAAGCATGTGTATGGATGAGTCAAGATCAAGTTCAAGAAAATCAAGAGTGGTTGGAGGTGTTTGAGACAGGGTTCCTAGGGTAAAATCCCCTGTATAGCACTGGACTTCCAAGCCACATAAGTCAAAATGCAAGTTTCAAATGGATTCTTGGCCAACATGAAACTTGTAGAGCTTCTCAATAGCTTTAATGAGTACTAGAAGTCTTCAAGGAGATTTGTAGAACTCAAGTTATGGTTCTTGCAAATTATGGGTCACCAGAGTATATTGAAATTTATCTGTGAAAGTCACTTGACTTCCAAGCAATTTGTTCTCATCAAGGAGTTTTCAAATGGATTCTTGGCCAACATAAGAATTGTAGGGCTTGATCTTAGCTTTAATTTGAGTACTATAAGTCCTCAAGAAGATTTGTGGAACTCAAGTTATGATCTTGGCAATCCAGGGGTATTTTGGGAAAGTTGAATTATAGGTCATTTTTCAACATAGGTCAAAATCTCTATCTTCCACTCCTCAAATGGAAAAATGTTCAACATGAGATGTGCTTAAAATGATGTTTTTAGGTTAGATAAGAAGTCATGGATGATTGGAATGTCTTGTATCACAAAGTTGCCCAAAATGACCTAAAAAGAGAGATTTTTCAAATGATTCAAGGGAGGAAAATTGGGATTTTTGAGATATGAGACATACACATGGCATATGGGTAGTCATTTTGAATGGAAATTGGATTTCAAACACATTGGCAATGCCATAATTTTGATATGAGCCATGATTTTATGAGTTGCTTTGGAAAATGCTTTCTTACATCATAAGTAACATATGCAAAACCATTTTTTAGATCATAACCAAGGCCTTAGCCCTTACCAATCCATTCAATATGTCATTAGAGGAGAATTTGGATCAAAATCAGGTGTTGAAGCAAGCTGAATCATGACTGTCATGGATGAACTTATCATGGTAATTTCAAGTGCATGAGAATTTCAATATCTCACATAGATCATTACAGGGCCTTCTAGATGATTCCTACATGTTCTATATAAGGATTATAACTGATTCAGTTAGTTGGTTGGTGAAGATTGAGAGAGATTTAAGAGATAGAACTTTGAGTTTTCACTTTGCAAATCAAAATCGGTTATACCAATTGGAGCAGTATCAAAGCAAATTCATGCATTCAATAGCTTTATCTTGAGTTGTTGAGTGAATTCAGAGGGATTTCTGGCCAAGATTGCTGAAGAATCAAGAGAGAGCACTTTGAGTTTGAAGCTTGCAACTCAGAATCGAATTTGGCAATTCAAGAGGACTCAGCACAAACTGATGCATACAGAAGCTTGATAATCACACATTGAAGGAATCTGGAAGATCTTGAAGCATAATTCGAAGCTTTCCACCTTCTGTTCATCTAAATTTCACAGGTTGGTAAACTTCATCTTATGGCTTGATCCATGTAGAATTGCTAGGTTTTAGGTGTTTAAATGCATTGTAGATGATGGCTAGGTGGTTTCTGGTAAGGAAATTCAAGGTTTATAGACAAATTTAGGTGGAACCAATTTTTTGTTGAGGATCATTTCTTGCAGTTCTTGTTGATTTAAGCTTAGTGGAATGGTGGAAATTACTCAGGGTAGTGTGTAGATGATCCTAGGCCCTCCAATTTTGAGATTGGTGAGGATTAAATTTTGAGCTCGCTCTGAATTTTTCTTCGTGTTTTGAGATGGAGATACTTTCAATGGAAATGGAGGATAGATTCTTGTTCAGGGTGAAAAGGCGAGTGGGATGATGTATTTAGGGTTGAGTTTTGGTGGGGATTTAGAGAGTTGGTGTTTGGGGACGACGGTGGCGCCACCTCCGACCACCGTCTGGTTCACATTCCCTCCAACATTTGAAAGGAGGAAGATGACATAATCACCATAGGATCTGCAGTGGACCCTTGACCAAACCCTCATCCAACGGCCACGAGTGAGTTTGATTTTGTGAAGAAACTCTGAATTCCCCCTCAACACACCGTTTCACTAAATGTTTGGTTTTGGGCTTAGATGAAACTTTGCTAATCACACCCCAGTTTGAAGGCCCATTGAGAAACCAACGCGAAGTAATTGCTATTCGCCACGAGCTTTTCTCATTTTCCCTGATTTTCCATATTATTTTCTGAATTGGTTTGGGCTTAGCACGCGCCTGATATCCACACACCCCTCCTGAGCCCAACTTCATTTTGAACTGCATATTATTGCTATTTGTCACGCCTCATTTGCATTTTTCTTTTATTTTCTTCTATTTTCACATTTTATTTTAGTTTAATGAAAAAATTCATAACAATTTGAAAAATAATCATTTTAGGATGAGATTTTTTTCCCTAGTTCCCTTAGGACCTCTAGAAAATTATGAAACTAAAAAATATTAATTTCATGCATTTTATATTTTTTGGTATATTTTACAATTTTATTGCTTTTATTTTACATTTGTTTGATACTTCATTTTTCTGAATTTAGTCTGAGAGATTGGTGCATGATTTTTGATTGATTCTTGTTAGGTTGATTAGATTAGGGAAGTATGTACCCTTAGGAATTTTGTCATATTTTTGTGACTAAAATTTAGGTTAGTTTGAGAGGTGGATAAGAGAGGTATTAGAATTAGGGTTTCACAACACTTAGGTGTAGTTTAGGGCATAGTTTGGGGACCTAGGGTTTGATTTAGGCATTGGGGTTTATATGGGGTATTGGGTATTGGTTTAGGTTCCCTTAGAAATTAATCTAGTTTTTTTAATGAGTATTACTATTTTACTTGATTTTTGCAATTTGAGTGGTGATGGTGTGTTTTCCCTCTTGGGCATTTTGCTTGTTTGTTTGGTTTGTGCTATTTTAATTGGGCTTGGGGCTTGGGCTTTGCTTGTTGGAGCTTATGAAGACCTTGAAGATGATTGGAGACAAAGGATGGAGCTTGGAGCATGAAGATTCTTCCCCTTGAATGTGGCTTAGGAGATAGGAACTGTAGGAAGAGCTCTAGATTAGACTGATTTCTTCTTGCAAACATAGAAAGCATCTTGTGCTTCTATTCCTCCCTATGACAAAAAGTCCTTTTAGGGTATTCACATCCTTCCTTTGGAGGGATAAGTGACATACTTTAGAAGTAGAACTTTGAGGGAACCTTTCCCCTACAATGCTAAGTGCTTATATGCTTCCTTTGGTTGTCAATAAGCTGTTTAGCATTTCAACTTAATCTGATAATTGATTCTCTTCTGGAGTGGTAGCATTGAAGATGGGAACCTATTGAAGAATGAAGTCCATTGAAGATTGATAAAGATAAAGCTTGTGCCTGTCAAAGAGAGTTATCTGTTGAAGCTAGGGTTTTGCTGCTGTTTGAAGATGTCTATTTGTTGGGGTTCAGTGCTTACTAGAGCTTGGAGATTTTTGGAGACATGAGCTTATCTAAAGCTTGGGGATCATTGAATATTGAAGATGGGGTCTTACTGGAAGGTGTTACTGTCAACCTTTTTTGCTGTTAATCAACCGTAGCTGTCAGAGCCGTTGCTGTTTGAGCTGCTTACTGTAGGAGCTGGTGTTGTTGTCAGAGCTGGTGTTGGGTTTTATTTCTTTTTTCTGTATT